CTCTCCTGGGATGAAGACTAATGTTTTCAATTTCTCAAACTCCTAAGAACACAGGCATCTGATAACTCTAAGGAGGTGGACACAGGCCCACATCGCTGCACAGACTGAGAGCACGGACATCAGTCACCTTACCTGGAACTGCCCTCCTCAAAGAGCCTGTCTGTGGCCTCATCTATATGGTCACCATTATCTCTGCTTGCTCCAACCCTCCAGGATTCCAAGCGAATCTGAACATTATCTCCTTGGCTCCCCCGTGATCCTAGACTAGGGGTCAGGAAACTTTTTCTATAAAGGGACAACTAGCAAATATTTAGGTTTGGCAGACGATAAAACCTCTGTTGCGACAACTCTAGGCTGTTGTTGTAACGTGGAAATGGTCATAGACGAGGACGTAAACAAATGAGCATGACTGTATGCCAATAAAACTGTGGACACTGAAATTTGAATTCCTTGTAATTTTCATGTAGCTTCATTTTAATTTCTTACAATCATTTAAAAAAATATAAAAATAGCCAGTATTCAGCCTTGTGTTGTTGACTGTGGTTATGATTCTGAGTATTAGATCTCTAGTTATTATTTAAGTTGAGGGGGGAAAAAAAGTAAAAATCATTCTTGGCTTGATGGCGGTACAAAAACAGGAAACAGGCCATATTTGCTGCCCCCTGTCCCACACCTCCAGGTCAGACACACGCGTCCCAGTTCTTTCTGAACTAGTCGCTGTCTGACCCTTGGCAAACTAAAGTCCTGATGCCTCTCTAGGACTCATCTGCATAATGGAGATCTTATCTTCCTTGATGAGAATTAGAAACAGCAGCGTCAGTGCCTGGGGAACAGTAGGAACTCAGTACACGGGCCTTCCTTTTGCAGTGAGTTTCAGCCTGAAGTGAGCATTTGATATGCAAGGACAGAAGCAGCTTTCTCTCCCTCTGTGAGAGCCTATCACTGTCACCAAGGTGCCTATTTCCAGGGCTCAGGATACACGTGTCCGTGTGAAATAGCTGAATGTAAAAAGGCTAAGTGAGGACATTCTCCCTCAGGAGACTTTGTGGCTTTGGGACATGCTGGCCCCACAGAGCTCAAGGAAGCCAGTTTTGAACGTGGAGTGACAGCTCCTGTCCTCCCAGCAGGGGGAAGACTGTGGATCACAAAGATGTTAACTGATGAGAAGCCTCAGGCCTGGGATCCATTTGCTTAGAGACTAGGTTCCAGGGCTAAGGGAGCCCATGCTGCTGACGCCTTGGCTAAGGTTTAAGAGTGGTAACAACACCCTGTGACAGTTTTCCATGACGGCGGGGGACAGGATGCCCACCACCACCACCACCCTCCCACCCTCCTCCACAGCAAATCCTCATTCTGGTTCACAGGGGGCTGTGATGATGACCTGAGCAGGAAGTGATGCGGAAGTGACCTACATCATCTTTGCAGTTGCTGCAGCTCTTCTGTGGTGAGGGTGGTTAGCTGGACCTATTCTCCCCCGAATCACTATCGGTCCCTGTTGCAGATTATCTAAAGGCATGCAGAAATGTTCTGAACAGCCTGTACTATGTGTTCTCATTGTGAACGAAAGGGGCCACATGCTGACCTGACAAGTTCAGGGGAGACCTGCATGGCAGTCTTGCAAACTCAGAGACCTAAAGTAACCACAAAGGATGGTCTGAAATTAAACTTTAACTAAAAGCAGTTATGGTGGACAATTACGTCCTAGGCCAGTATCTTCACTGACAAGGTCAACCTTTACCTTAACTGAGCCTATCTGTCTTTTTGCATCTATAACATACCCTTGAAATGTCTGGGTAACTTGTAACTTCCCTTTTTCTGGAGCCCCTGGGGCACAACCAAATATGTTGGGCTTCAGGACAGATAACCACAAATTCCTTCATTATCATGTTAATTGTTCCTGCACCCACCTAAGTATGTGTCCATCATTTTACTTTTTCTCCAATCCCAGGGGTTTCCCTGCTTCGCTTTATCCCTCCTCCTTAATCTATCACCAATGAATTTCATGTAACCCACCTATGTCCCTCCTTTGATTGCACGTATAAATACAAATGTAACCCCGCCATTCTCCGGAGCATTATCTCAATTCGTTGAGGTTCTGCTTCCCGGCATATGTCGACAGTTTGGCTCAAATAAACTCACAAAAATTCTTTACAGGTTTCAAAGGTTTTTTTACGTTAACATTACCTTCATTTAAAAATGTACCTATTTGTATGAGGGGAAAATGCTGCAACAACAAGTTGAAATAACAGTGTTACCTCTTGGGAGGTAATTTAGGATTTCTCTCTCCCCCCGTCAACCCTCCAAGAATGAGCATATGTAGTATTACTTAGAGAAATCTACAGACCAAGTGGGTGTCTAGGGGTGGATGTGCTTAGTGATCAGTGGGAACTCAGTAAATGGGCCTTCCCTTTGCAGTCAAGGTTTAGCCTGAAGTGAGCTCTTGATAAGCAAGGACAGAAGCAGCTTTCTCTCCCTCTGTGAGAGCCTATGGTCCCTGCAGCAGGCCAAGATGTGGGGTGTGTCATAGAGAAGGGATCAGAGATGTCCCATTCTCTGGAGTAGAAAGGGCATTGGGACCCTTGGGCACCAGGCAAGGTAGCTGCAGTAGGAATCCAGGTGAGAGATTCTCAGAGGGTGAGAAACACTGGTCACCCCCAAGGGAAGTTGGCCAGGAAGACAAGAAATTTTTATTGTGCCCCTACTAAACCACAGACACAAAATCTTTGACAGGTAGTACCATTTTATTTAGTGTTATAGGAAATTTTAGGTTACTTCTTACAAACAAAATCAGAAGATTCAAAATTCCCAAAGTAACAAAGCAGGAAATAACTCTATAATCCAAAAACACTGGACGATCCTTCAAGAGTCGGAGGGAGGAAGAGGTCAGGTTTGTAGCTCACATAACAGATACGGAGAAACCGCAGGGTTGAGGTTGGCATGGATACTAGGAGATTATGTTCTCCACCTAAGACAATTAATCTTTCAGCCTTGAGCGATTATTTATTTGTAGTTCTAAAAAAAGAAAAAAGAGTCAACTGGGAGAGGGACCCAGTGAGGAAAGATCCTGCACAATTTAACATTAAATCGCCTCTGGCCTTCAATACAGTTTGTGGCTGAGTGTCATGGACCTTCCTCCCTTGATGCCCTTTTGAGCTCCCACTCTTAGCAAAGCTGGAACCACACACATGTATCGCATTGGTTCATGCATATGTGCACACACCCTTCCACTCAGGTCAACAGCTGTCCCGCATGGCAAAGGGCACACTTTCTTGCTTCTCCAGTCTGCTACCCTGATGAGGTTAACACGCAGGGATAAAAGGGAAGGGCAGGACACCTGTCAAAGTCCAAGGAATGAGATGATATGAAACAACCAAGCAAAAAGTTGACATCTTATTCATGGAGCTGACCTCCAGCTGAAATTCATTGCAAGGTGTTTGCTTTTAATCAGATGTTTCCCTAAAGTACTGACTGTTCCTTCTGGAGGCAACTAGCAAGGTCAAGAAGGCAGCTGCCCCTGCTGCTCCAGAGCACAGCCTCCTCCCGGGGCCTGTCAGGTAGGGTAGCATTCACAGCAGCTAGAGGCAGGTCCCAGTCCTGTAGAGATGGGCACAGGCCTTCAGACATGTGCCAGGTATCAGAGTCCAGCACTCCAACTCACCACTGCCCTGCTAATGGCTCAGAGCAGGTTAAATGGCTCAAATAAACTCTTCTCCGTCCAAGTAGAATTCTCCGTCCAAGTAGAGTCCTCAAGGACAGTCATTAACGAGTGACCTTCAGGCTATCTACTTTGGAGAGGGACAGGAATGCTATCAATTGAATTTTCCCCCCAGCAGTGGTAGAAACCAGACACCCTTGAAGTAAATTGTCCTTCATTCTCCAGAGTTCCCAAGTGGCATATCAGAACACAGGAATTCATTCCTCCACCCAGTGCCCCTCTCAAACACCGACCAAGATACATACCGAGGTCCTAGCAGCAACCTCCAAACCAACCCCTCCTGAACAGTGCAGGTCTCCACACCAGCCCTTCAGACGAGAAACCATTCAGAACTCACCTGCCCCCCGGGGCACTTGGGTTATCACAGTCAAAACACATTTATATCAAGTAAAAAACATGTCGTGGAACAAATATATACATGTACATTTTCAGAGTTCAAGTGGATATACAGTTCTCTTTGTAGGTATGTACATACATGTCATAGCACTACAAAAATACAAGGCATCTGAGAAGTTTACAGTGGTCCCCAGTACTGTAGGAGAGTATTAAATACAATAGCTATAGGTAGTTAAAAACTAATCAGATAAATCAAGTTACAGTATCATCCTTCAGATTAAAGTGCTCCAATATAACTAAGGTTGCAGCAGACATGATCCAGAAAGGAATTCTGGTGCCAGCAATCTTGCCTCTTAACATCAATATAACAAGAACATGCGAAGAAGAGATTCCCAATTTAATACCGGCTAGAATTGCCACCCCTGCCCACCCCACTGGCCGGTGACGCTCCTCCCCCAGGAGAGAGGTCAAGATTGGTGAGATTCCGTCACAACCAGGAGGAAAAAATGAGTAATACAGAAACATTCTAATTGCAATATTAGGTTACTAACAATGATATTACCTGAAGAATTTGAACTGATACTATTCATTAAGATTAAGAGCCCTAGGAGGTTTGGCTCAGTGGCTAGAGCAACAGCCTGAAGACTGAAGGGTTCCAGGTTCGATTCCAGTCAAGGGCACGTACCTCGGTTGCAGGTACCCCTGCCCTGGTCGGGGTGTGTGCAGGAGGCAACCAATCCATGTATCTCTCTCACATCGGTCTCTCTCTCTCTCTCTCTCTCTCTCTCCCCCCTCTTCCACTCTGTCTAAAAAAAAAAAAATCAATGGAAAAATATCCTCAGGTGAGGATTAACAACAACAACAGAAAAAGATTAATAATACCGGCCAAGTGTCCTAATGTTTAAAAATATGTGTGTTAATCTAGTTTTAAAAATAAGCAACTCCAAAATAAGTATCATTTTCTTGCTCTTTACCATTTTATAACAAGGGGGCAAATGCCAGGAAGAATGGCCAGGGAAAGCAGGGAGCCGAAGCACAGGAGGAAAGGCCACAGGGATCCTACTGAAACCATCCCACACCTGGTGGAACTGTTTTAGGAAGCCTGGGTCACCCAATCCCTTATAAGGCCCTGACTAGGCCAATCCAGCTGGCAGGAACCCTGCTATTATGGGAGGAGGGACTTGCACCAGCTCCCCCTGAGTGAGTGCCAAGTGACTCTCAGCCCCTGTTCTACTTCTCAAGAGCACATTTTAAGGCTAGGGAGTAATGGAAGTGTGTTTAGAAAAGGCAACTTGTTACAAATTCGAAAGGCACACTCAGGGCTTTCCCTAAGCTCCTCTGCTCTGGTCAAAGCAGGACCAAATCTAAGGAGCGCAGGAGGTTGATGTGGTATCAAAATCTAACCTCTGCAGCCAAACAGACACACCCGAGGTACTCAAAAGCCAAGACAGTATGTGTAACGCAGCACCTTCTCGTTTCACCCCGAGCGTTAATGGCTGGGGGATACGTATTTTAGAATCTCAGTGTCAAAGAAAGGAAACCCCGATGTTAAAATACATTAATACCCCTGGAGCCACTGGACTCTCTGGGCCAGGATCAGATCTTATGACCCTGTTTTTCAGGGCATAAAATATTCACAACATAAGGCACAGTGGCGTTTAAAAATAAAACCCTGGGAACGTACAGTAAAGGACTCGTTGTAATAAGTAACCTGGCTTCAACTGGCAGAACTGACTCTTGCCAGATAGCACACGCAAGGGAGATAGGTGGCGACTTGGAGCCTTAGGCTGGTTATCAGGCACACGGAGTCCTTGACCTCAGGAGGAAGTGTAAAGAAACTCACAAAAAAAGTCTCAGTGTCATAGGCTGGCCGTTCACATCTTCCCTGCCTTCTTGCCGACCTGAGCCGGAACGCGGAGGATGTTGGGGGTTTCTTCCATGACCCTGACGAGCAGGTTGTCGATGTAGTCTTCCAGCTCGCGAACCTGGAACTCCTTCTTGTTTATTGTTTCCTTCTGTTTGAGGACCAGCTGGATCAGCTCATCATGGGTGAGCTGTGCATACGCAAAAGCAGGGTCCGAGGGGGTGTATTTCTTTGGAGAGGAAAGAAGAGGGGGAAAACGTAAAGTCAGCAAAGAAGTCTAAATAGCTAAAAGAAATACAAAAGAGGGGTTCAATGACCATAACCAGAGGTCGGCGTTCAGAGAGGTACAATGTGCTCTAGGACCTGGACAAACAGGAAACACTGCTATGCAGGTGATTGGACACACTTCAAAGATGGAGTGACATCTGAACCAGACCTTGGAGATGAATTATCAGTAATTTCCTCCCCCAAATGACAGGATTTTGTTTTTAATTATAAAAGGAATATCTGCTCATCATGGAGTGGGGGGGAAAATATTACCTATAACTCCAACCCATAACGTTTGGGTCTCTTTCTTATTTTTCTTTTTTCTTTTCCCCAAATATATTTTTATTGATTTCAGAGAGGAAGGGAGAGGGAGAGATAGAAATATCAGTGATGAGAGAGAATCATGGATCAGCTACCCCCTGCATGCCCCTTACTGGGGACCAAGCACCCAACCCAGGCATGTGCCCTAACCAGGAATTGAACCTTGAACTCCTGGTTCATAGGTTGACACTTAACTACTCGCCACGTTGGTCAGGCCCCGGTCCTTTTGATGAAGTGGAAAAGAACCAAATTCTAACTCTGTATTAGCTTACTTTTGATCTTTAAAATTATTTCCTTAATTAAATTTATTATTCAGGAAAGTGCATGCTGGGCCTTCATTCTGAGGGGTTTTAAAGACTGGGCATTTTCAGGATGCCATAGGGGAGGATCACAATAGAATTCTCTTTCTTATTTTTCCTTGGTTTCTTTATAGTGTGCTTTACAATTTTAACATCATACAGGATATAGTGTTGTGGGGTTTTTTTAAAATATATTTTTATTGATTTCAGAGAGGAAGGGTGAAGAAGAGATACAAACATCAATGATGAAAGAGAATCATTGATTGGCTGCCTCTTGCATGCCCCCTACTGGGGATCGAGCCTGCAACCCGGGCATATGCCCTTGACAGGAATCGAACCTGGGACCTTTCAGTCCCCAGGCCAATGCTCTATCCACTAAGCCAAACCAGCTAAGGCCAGGATATAGTTTTATAGCTTCTTTAAATTGTTATTTTGTGAGCCTTTTCCCATCATTAGATTTTAGCAAAAATTGCTTTTTTAATAGATGCTTAAAATTCCATCATATTTTAACCATCTCTCTCCCTGAGTATTTAGGTTGTTTTCAATTTTCACAATTATATAATAACATTTTAATTAAAATGTATTAACATAAATCTTCGGTTACATCTCCAAATATTTCCTTAATAAAAATGTGTATAATTAAAAAGGCAGCCGAAACCGGTTTGGCTCAGTGGATAGAGCGTCGGCCTGTGGACTGAAAGGTCCCAGGTTCAATTCCGGTCAAGGGCATGTACCTTGGTTGCGGGCACATCCCCAGTAGGAGATGTGCAGGAGGCGGCTGATCGATGTTTCTCTCATCATCGATGTTTCTAACTCTCTATCTCTCTCCCTTCCTCTCTGTAAAAAAATCAATAAAATATATATTTTTTTTAAAAATCAATTTTAAAAAAATTAAAAAGGCATACACACTTAAGGTATTTCATACAAACTGCCAAACAGTTATTCAATTTAAATTCTGTATTCCAAAGGGATACAGGACTTTGAAGTCATTAGAAGATTCTACGATTGTGATGACTTAAAAAAATTATAGAACAATTCAGCATTTCAGAAGGTGAGCATTGGCCATGAAGAGGAAGAGGTGCAAAGAAAATACCCATTAATTCAAGAAACAACAGTGCCCATTGTCACATATTTCCTCTCAGGATCTTACATTGGATTTTTTCCTGCACAGTTGCAATAATAATGATGTATATTCAAACTGTGTCCAACTTTTTCCATATCACAGGACAGATGATTTCTGAGTGTAGTTGGCTGTATTATTTTTAAATGGAAGTGTCAAAGCCACCTGAGTAAATAATACACGCCTAGGCATAAATCATCTATAAAGGATGGAGGCCCCAAGAAAAATACCTTCCCCCCAATCCATTCTAGTAATGATTCAGCTAGCCTTTCATAATTTTAGCTATGCAATTTCTTTCTCTAACCTCTCTCTTACCTTGCAACATTCCAAAGAGTAGTTCTTTTTATAAGTATTGTTTATGCGTTAGCACAAAGCATCCATTATATGGCCAGCCAACAGCAGTCTCTAGGAAACTTTCCGTATTGACTCGACTATTTACTAGGTATGGTCCAGGACTAAGAGTTTTGCTGCGGGCAGAGGGACAGCAGTGGGGCTTACAAATCATGAGCAAGCCAAGCAGCAGTTGCCTTTGTTTTAAGGCAAGTTATTCTCTCTGCCAGGGCCAGGAGATAAGCCCCTGGTTAAACAAGCTTTGAAGAGTGAATAAAATGAGAGCCAAGGGTCTTTCTTGCTAACTTCCTGAAAGCTAGGTGTTGTTTCTCTTTGGAGCCAAGCTGCATTCCACAGTAAAAGGAAGAGGGGATGGGAGGCCACTACATGACTCTAGTTCTCATGTCCCTTTTATGCTGTTCTTTTGCCCAGTTTCCTGGTAAATATTGTTAACTCCAGGAAGACAAGTGCTGCCTCTTCCACACAAGCACAGAACCCAGCCAAGCTGAGCTGCTCAGGTTATGGTACATTTTTAGGCTGGGGCTAAAACATCGTAGGTAGGTACACAGTTCTGGCTGCAGCTGGTAATTTCGAGAGAAGGCAAGATGGCTAGAAGATGCTGACTTGTTTTCAGCCACAATTCATTATTACTACTCAGCCTCTTGGCCTGAAACTCAGCTCTACAGCCTCAGTGAGCCTTTAGCCCAGCTCCTGGTGGCGTAGGTACCCAGCACTTTAAAAATGTTTGCAGGAGGGAAGGAGTCATGAGCAAAAAAAGTTTTATTTTAAAAAAACACAAAAACTGCACTGGACAGTTTGCTTAATGGTTAGTGTTGGCCCGTGGACGGGATTCAGGGTTCCATTCCCAGTCAAGGGCACATATCTCAGTTGCAAGTTCACTCCCCGGCCTCAGTTGGGGTGAGAGTGGGAGGCAACCAATCGATGTGCCTCTCTCACATCGATGTTTCTTTCTCTGTCCCTCCCTCCCTTCCTCCCTTCCTCCCTCCCTCCCTCCCTCTCATCTTCTCTCCCTCTCTTCCTCCCTTTCACTCTCTCTAAAAATCAATGGAGAAAATATCCTTGGGTGAGGATGAACAAATAAATAAACTTTATTTTTTACCAACTACAGTCCCCAGTAGTCATTTAGGAAATTCCTCTCCACATATTTGAAACACGACACAGCCTTGCCCACTAATGGTCATCAGTCACTCAGTATATCATTCTCCTCCGGTCCATGTGATAATGAGTCAAAGATCAGGGTCTGCAACAAGCCGATCCTAAATCATTCTGATTTTAGAACCAGGAAGGGCAGGATGAGGACACTCAAAGCAGAAATCATCTGTGAGGTTGATTTTGTTTTTGTAGGGAGTCTATTTCTTGATGTGTGGTGGTTGTTGTTTAATGTTAGCCTAAGCTTTTCAATGAGAAGAAACCCTCTAATCCAGCAATGTTTTTCATGGATATTGAGCTTAAGGAAATAATCTAACAGGAGGGAAAAAGTTCTATGCAAGAAATTGTTGACTGTAGTGTTATTCATCTTGCAAAACAGAAAACATAATGTTGTACACTTGAAATTTATGTAATGTTATTAACCAATGTTACTTTAATAAATTTAATTTTTAAAAAAGAAAACAATCTGAGTATCCGACAATAGGGAAATGGTTAAGTGAATAATGGTATATAACCATTTCAAGAATAATTAAGTAGCAACATGCAAAAAAGGTTATGATATATTATTAAGTGAAAAAGAATTGAAGGAGTGTTACTATGCAGGTGATGGAGCTGGAAATACCATCATTTTGCAACTGCTATATTCACCAGTGGATACTAAAGCCTATGAATCAAAAGGTGATGAAGAACAGCATGTTTACAAAGTCTGAAATTAATTCCCCACAAATTTCTTATTAATTGTAAAGGGAAAAAGAGCAACTTTTTACTGGAGAACCTAGGACAGTGATGGCAAACCTTTTGAACTCGGCATGTCAGCATTTTGAAAAACCCTAACTTAACTCTGGTGCCGTGTCACATATAGAAATTTTTTGATATTTGCAACCATAGTAAAACAAAGATTTATATTTTTGATATTTATTTTATATATTTAAATGCCATTTAACAAAGAAAAATCAACAAAAAAATGAGTTCGCGTGTCATAGGTTCGCCATCACTGACCTATGGGGACACCACCAAACTAAGTCATCAGAGTTAACACTTCCACTCCTGGTACAAACTGATATAATGTGCCTCTTCTTACAATGCACTAAGAAGGACACATTATTTCCATAGTTAATTCCTTCCAAGAATGTATAACCTCAACCAAACCATGAGGAAATCCCTTGCAAATCTTAACTAAGTCAAATTCTACATAATGAGTGACCCTGGATTGGATCCTGGACTACAGGAAAAATTACCCTAAAAAGGACATTACTGGGACAATTGGTGAAATTGAAATCCTATCTAATAAAAGACAAAAATGGTAATTGGCGTACGACCAATACCCTTTTCATTGGCTAATCAGGGCTATATGCAAATTAACTGCCAACAAGATGGCGGTTAATTTGCATAAGTAGACACAATGCAGGGAGGTGAAAGGGAAAGCAGGAAGAAGCCCCCTGCCACTGACAGTGATCAGAAAC